TATCCTGCCAGTCGACGGGAGGGTGGAAAAGCGGCTCTACAGCATCACCCTGCAACCAATCTTTTCGAAGCGACCGAAAGACTTTAGTGCTGCGTGGAAGGGGAGCTGTCGCCGGCGAACAGACGCACCCGTTGCCTCATTCTTCGCAGCTGTCGTTGTCGGTAGCTTGCATGTGTGCAGCTTGTCTGACCACGATCCGCCTAGGAGTTTGCAGAGCAGGACTCTGAGGTCGGCGATAGCGTCAATGACGTTGATGTTGTTGCAGAGCATGAACATTGCTTTTGATGATGATGGCGACACAGCCGGCTGACATCACATCGACCATTCTCTGTCATGGTTTGCCATGGATGCCTATCCTTCGCACCATTTCAAGGAAATGGGACCAGGGGCCCGCTAGTTGGTAAAGTAAAGTTGGCAACATCACGAAATCTGATCCTGGCTTTCTCAAGATGATTTGGAGCGCTTGCTGTTGAAGATGTGGGGACTGAAGGAGCTTCACTGAGCTTCCTCCTTTAGGGTTTCGGATTCCTGGCCGAGTGAAGTTGCCATGGCGGCTGCGGCAGAGGCCCAGAGAGAGGCGCAAAGTGCTTCAAGGTTTCGCGACTACGGTAGGTAGTAGAGTGCAGAACACAGGAGCATGTCTTTGCGTCTTGCGCTTCTTTCCTGCAGCAGCCGTGTTGAATTGCGCTTGTCTCTGCAAACTTCAAGCCCTCAGCCCCGAACCCAACCCCGAGTCTTTTTCTTTCTGGTATGGTTGTGCCAAGCCCGATGAAGACACATTCCGAAACTACATTCCTGCTCCTCATCTTGTGTGGGCGTCCCACTTGCATTGGCTGATGGAAGATGTGTATCATGCCAGCAGCAGATGATATAGGAGAGGCTCAAATCGCAGTTCAAGACCCTTAAACCACTAACCCTACGCCCAGTAGCCTCAACCCCAATCCCGCGCCATATGCACCGTGCACCCCCAAAACCCTACACAGAAAGTTGCAACTCCCGAGCAATCGAGCTCTCAAAGCCTTCCCCACAAGCCTAAAGGCCTAAACACCCTGTATTAAACCCTAAACCCTAAACCCCTAAACTCTAAACCCTAAACCCCTAAACCCCTAAACCCCTAAAACCCTAAACCCGCTAAATTCTCTTCGCGCCCCCCCTGGGAATGGACCACTCTGTGTCATGGCGGGAGAGCTCCACTCCTCGGCACAGACCCAGGACACCGCCTCCCTCAAAAGCAAAGGACCCTTTGAAAAGGAGCCCTAGAGGAACCTTTAAAGAAGGAACTCTTGAAGGGACCCTTTGAGAAGGACCCCTTCAAAGACCCTTTAAAGGAACACTGAGCACCCTAAACTCCGACAGTGATGAAACCCTGAAGGATCAGTGCGGTTTGGTGTTGGGAAGTTGCTGGGCTTCCGTGAGGGTTACCAAACGGGTTACTACAAAGGTTGCGGTAAGGGATATGCAAGGGATTAGGGCTTTTTGGGCTTTTTGGCTTTAAGGCTTTTGCTTTGGGGCTCGGGGTTCAGGGTTTAGGGTGTCTTTGTGTTGGGGCTTCAGGGTTTCGGGTTTGACTGCACCGTGGATCTATGATTTATCACCTGTTTTTGGCGCTTTGGGATCTGCTGTAGGGTCCAGGGTTCAAGGAGGTGGGCGGTGTTCGGCACTTTTTCGGCAGATCCACACGGTTGATCTGCCCTTTAGAGTCAGAGGTTGAAGCCGTTTATTGCTTGCTGGTCTATATACTGCTATCTTCAGCAATGCGTCTGCTATCACTATGACTGACATTGGGTGCATTTGCATTATTACCGGCTACTGGGTTGCCAGAGTAAGTGGTCCAGGATCTCCGTGGCCTTATCGAGGTTCGTAGTTTCTCAATGTTCAAATTCCACTTTTGTGCTCACAGTGTTATGTTTACTCTTTTCTGTGCCCGCGAGACGAACGAGGAACGCCTAGAGCGATGACGGTGTCAACGAGACAAGATCGTCAGCATGTGCAGCAACGCTACTAACAGCATACATTGCTGACCATGATGAGCAGAATGGCTCAGTGAAAGCAATGTTGACATTTGTGCGACATGAGTGCGACAACTGCGATAGCAACACGACCACCATCAGAGACAAGATGTATCAGAAGCAACCACAACCTCACCATCAACAACACCGACAACGACAGCAGCATCAACAGCACGAACGGAGAATACAGTTGCGGCTGTCGATGATGACACTGCTACTGCGCTGCTGCTGCTGCTGCTGCTCCTCCTCCTGATACTGCTACTACTACTACTACTACTACTACTACTTCTACTACTCCTGCTACTACTACTACTACTGCTACTACTACTACTACCACTACTACTACTACTACTACTACTACTAGTAGTGCTCCTGCTGCTGCTGCTACTACTACTACTACTGCTGCTGCTGCTGCTGCTACTACTGCTACTGCCACTACTACTAGTTGACCTACTGCTAAGACGACGACTGCTACTACCACTACCAGTTTTCGTGCTAATCGCTGCTGAAACCAAAGCTACATCAGCAAGATGAAGAGCAGAAGAGCAACTGCGCCATGAAATACAACGGTAACAACGACTACATCAAAGAACACTAGCTGCCGGCACAACTGTAGAAACAGCAGCAGAAGAAGTTGTACTTCTCACTTCGTGTGCGAACTGACAACTGTTTAGCTTTATATTATGTTGTTGCGGCAGTACCTCTACCTGTTCTGGGTAAGCCAGCTGACAGACATAAGAGCAACCATGGCTAATATGTTCATCGTAGGCTGCTTGTGCAGGCACAGAGGACCAGGTGTGATGTAAGGTTGATCAGCAAAGTATCAATCAATATGACCATCAAGACAACATGAGTACAAATTGTCAGCAGGAGCGGCAATGACAGTCACGGTCATGGTCATAGTTGCAGCTACATGCATGCTCAAACAACAACAGTCGTTGTCACCATGGCAACAGCAAGCAATAGGTAGTTCGGCAGATGTAAAGATGATGGTCATCGCGGCCTCCTATCCAGGAGTCCATCTTCTCCGCGAGTTACTGGAGGCAGCTCTGCCCGGAACTACATGTCGAGGACAAGTGCTTCCAGGTACACAGTTGGAACGGGGACAGTTTGTGGAGGTTTTCAACAGTGTGTGTGTGTGTGTGACTTGTGCAGCTACTGCTAGCACCACTACTGTTGCTTCTATTGCGGCGAGTGCTGTTGCTGCACACGTACTGTTGCGGGTGCGACAAGTGGTGAAATGTTCATGACATTGACATCGAAACATGCCATGAGAACTTAAAGCTCTCGCATGTAAATTCATGAGACAAAAGTCTCGAGTGACACACTGATTGCTTGGCATGAGTGGTAGTGGAACAGACAGCACTTGTGAGAGTCATGAGACTTTTTATTCTGCCCAAGAGCCCACCTGGGGACATTCGAAGACATCCCTGAGGCCGAAGTTCTGGCACGCGACGGTCGATCCGTTGCGGCCGTGTCGGACTGCCGGGAGGACATTTGGTCAGCAGTTTGGTTGTACCATCGTCGTCATCGGCATCATCAGGGCTGTTGCTGCATTATGACTAGATTCTTTTGTAGCATCCAATATGGTAGTTCTCACAGCCATGATCGGCATCGCCATAGCGGTCGTCCTGCTTGGAATGGTGGTGATGTGCCTGACAAGAGCGAGGCTCTCAGCCTCAGACTGTTGCTGCCATGATCTCTGATGATGGTCAGTGTCACATCTGTGCCTTGTTGTGGGAAGAAAGGGCGTTTCTGCTGGGATCGACAAATGCGTCTCTCCTGTGCAGGTCCGTGCCCGCATCCTGGAGGAGGGATCCTCGGAAGCAGCCGGGGGCTGGCGGTTTCGAGATCGAACCCCCCCCACATCCTAGATCCAGTACCCTTTGTAGACCTTTTTCGAGAGCTCGCAGGCTGAGGTTTCCCACGCCCTCTCAAGATTAAGGTGCAAACTCGTGCATCCCCAAAGCTCTAAGACCCAAACCCTCCAAGCCCCCTCAGCCCTTATCAGCCCTTATCCTAAGCCATAGCCCTTGTAGAAGCCCCAAACGCTGGAGCCGAGGCTTTGCCGCGCTCTCCCCGGCCCAGCTGTCGTGGACGGCGTCTGTGGGCCGCCTTGCTCAGGGCGTGCCCTGGCAGCTCGAGGGCTGGAGTTCCAGGGTTTGGGTTTGGGGTTTAGGGTTTTACATGCCTTTCATGATCATTTTACAGTTTGGGGAGGTTTGGCTTGGGGTTTGAGTTGATATAGTTTCATGTCATCTTTGCAACACGCGCTGCAAAGTTTGTTGGGGGAATTAGGGTGCAGGTTGTCCGACTAAGCTGTTTACACTGGCAGCGACACATCGTCTCCTTCATCTTTCTCTGAATGCGAAACTCAGGGCTACTTCTGTTATCATTTGAAAAATTATCGTGAAGATAGGGCTTTACCTTGTCTATACTTTTACTAGTGCTGTGAAGATACTGATACTCGTAGAAGTTTTTGACATAAAGGTATAAATGTGAAGCGTTGTACTTGTGGGTCTCAGGGACTGGGGTTCTGAGCCAGAGAGTGAAAAATCCTGATCCGTATGCCATGTCGCCCATCAATACTCATGGGAATCTAATCCTGAAGGTGCTGCAGCTGGAGCAGCACGGCTGGCCGGCCACGCGCAACGCTTAGCTCTTGGCTTGGTCGAAATAGGGTGTGTTGGGGGTACTGTCTGCGAGTGTCTAGTAAGAGCTCTCCGGAGGTTTGCACAGGAACCGTCGATACATCGAAGCCTATCTGTCACAGCCGGGCTGTTGTAAACTGATTGTGGACCCGAAAACCGAAGGCTGAATCCTCAACCATTTCTGGGAATTCTTGACGCCGTCATGCTCTAAAGACATTGTGGCAAGCTGCCAACCACACCCCAAAGCTTTGAAGCCCTTCAGCCCCAAGCCTCAGTCTCAAACCCCTGCAAATCCGGATCCGGCTGAAGGTTCATTGCGCTGTACGACGAAGCCTGGGCCATGGCGAGGCGCTGCTCATCGTCACGATTCTTCGATAAAGCGACGATAGACCCAAGGCCCTGGATCGAAACCCGAAAGCCGTCAACCCCGAGCCCTAAACCCACAAATCCAAAGCCCGCTTATCTTGTTCTGATGGGAAGTCACCCGAATCACCAGCTGGAGCCCGTGTCCTTCGTTTTAGCACATTCTGCTGGCTTCCACGACATGTCGCAAGCGGACTGCAGACTCTTCGTACTACTTAAGATTTCGTGATTCCATCTTTTATGTTTTTAAATCACAAAAAGCTTCGATGAAGCCTTCGCAAGACTCCTCCTCCCGACTCGCACAAGCACATGACGTTTACAACGATGAGAAATGGTCCAGCGGTCCTGCGCATCCTCAGCTCCAGCATCCCGAATCTTTGCATCTCGAGCCCTACAAGATTGAGACCAGGGATGCCGGCGCAGTGATGCGGGAAGTCACGGGCAACAGCGCCCGGATGGCAAAAGTGGGCTTCGTGCGGCTTGCGCCCTTAACCTTTCCAATCCGAGGTGGCCTCTTATCAGGCGCCAGGTCTTTGAGGATGTAATTTGCAACACAAGAGACGCGGGTCAACTTAGCAACTTTCCAAGGCCTGTGCATGGACGTGGTGGGTTTCCTGGTGCGCCCTTCCCAGACGAAGGGCTTCTCTCCCCACCGCGACAGGCATCAGCGTTGACTTGCTGTGTTGCACGGGCTTCGGGACAGAACGGAGCAAGGACCAATAGGAACGCTGTTCCGAGCCGTAAGATCCTCCCAACGCTTTCAGTGCTAAGAATACCAAAGCACGAAGAGTTTCCTGAAGTTAGCAGCGGTGGCCGTTGAAGTAGCAGTCGTCGCCGTAGTAGTAGTCGTGGTGGTCGTGGTGGTGGTGGTGGTGGTGGTGGTCGTCGTCATCGTCGCAGTAGCAGTAGCAGTAGCAGTGGCAGTGGCAGTGGCAGTGGAAGTGGCAGTGGCAGTGGCAGTGGCAGTGGCAGTGGCAGTGGTGGTGGTCGTAGTAGTAGTAGTCGTCGTCGTCGTGGTGGTGGTGGTGGTGGTGGTGGTGAGTTTTCGGAGCAGGAGTGCTGACGAGGAGAAGGGGGAGAGGAGTAGCAGCTGTACCAGCATCCGCAGCAATGGAAGCAGCCACACAGCAGCGGCTAAACATTGCAGCAGAGGGAGAAGAGGGGGAGCAACTACAGCTTTGGCATCAGAATCATCAGAGTCAGTGTGGCAACACTAGCAACATCAATAGTAACTATGTCAATGACAACCACGTTGATAGTCATAGAAACGGTCAGATTATCACCATCTTCCTGTGATCCAGCTCTCTTTCCAGGCAGCCCGAGGACTGGACCCCAAAGGGCGTACCGCCTGAGACGTCGGCCACTTTCAAGGCAGCGCCCCGCCTGGGAAAGAGAAATCCTTACACCTTCGAAAGCTTTAACCTAAGCTCTCTCCCACGCCCCAAGCCCGAAGCGCGCAAGCAGAGCGCTGGAAGCGGAGAGAAGGCCTCGGTTTCGTGTCGCTACGGACACAGCCCAGGACGGCATGGCCAAGTACGTGACGCTCTGGGCGGCACTCACGGATGCCACACCTGAGAACTCCTGAGCTTTGGCTTGCAACAGTTCCGGGGATCTTTGCACTGCGACTCCTGGGGTCTCAACCCGAAAGCATCGGATAGCTTGTGATGACAGGGCTGCTATTGTAGCTTCGGATGTGGGGAGGCCAATCTATCCCGAACCTTTCCAGTAATCTGCGAGATTCTGCGAGGTCCTCGGGGTTTGCCAACCAAAGCAATTTGACACAATTATTGCGGAAGGCCCCAGGGTCTCCAAGGCCACATGTGCCGTAGTAGGCCGAAACATGTTACCAAGCTGTGCCAGAATATGCTATGGAGATTGCAGACAGGACGTGGTAGGCCCACTGCAGTAGATAGCACAGCAAGTTGTTTGTAAGTCTTGAACCCCTCTGAGGTCTGCACTTCGTGCCCCGCTCTTCGGATCCGGGCCCCTCGGATGCACGGAGCTTGGGCAGCACGGCTTCCAGAGCTCCTGCTCATGTGCAGGCCGTCGTTTGAGATCGGGGCCTTAATGAGTTCAGCATGGTTTGGGCGGTACATGGTACTATAATCACGAAGGGCCCCTAAGAGAGTGCTATGTCCATAGCAGCTCCACAAACCAACACTTTTGCAGGCTACTCTGCGGGAGATCCGGATGATGGAGACCCGATGCTACGAATCTTCCAAGATAAGGCCTCAGAGCTGGGTGGCTGGCACGGGTTTTGTCTGTACATACACACACACACACACGCACACACGTAGTGTCTCCACTCTTGCTTGTTTGCACACTTGCTCGCTCTCTCCCTTTTGTCTCTTCTCTCTCTCTCTCTATCTATCTATCTATCTGTCTGTCTATCTATCTATCTATCTATCTGTCTATCTATCTATCTATCTATCTATCTGTCTATCTATCTATCCATCCATCTATGTATCTATGTATCTATCTATCTATCTACGTATATGTTTATGTTATATGTTCGCAAAGGTATGTGCCTGTAGTGTACAGGCAGGCACTTTGCAGAGCTTCCTTTGGTTCTGCGCCCATGGCGTTGAAGACGGGGGATGCCGGCAGGCCGCCTTTCAAACCATCCGCAGTGCTCCCGTCGCTGCCGGAGGCAGCTGGTGCACCGCCTTTGTCTTTGACTTGGTCTCTCAATATATTATATCATATTATATGTATTTATATTATATTATATTATTATATTATATTATACTAAACCCCTAGAAGGTCCTAAACCCAAAGTTAAAGTTCTGTAAAGCTTCCAACCCGCCAGCCCCTATCTGCACGGGAACATGAAACCTTCAACAAGAGGCCACATGGCAGACTTTCTGTAGAAGGATATATACATATCCATGTATGTGCATGATGTTTGTTGCCGTGCCATGATTTACCATGTCCGATTAGTATCGTTTGCCGTAGTATATGCTGGTCTATTGCAAATCACACGATCACGGTGCTTCATAGTACAGTCTAGTATCCTATTGAATCCTATTGTATATTGATACACATCACCCCGTAGACGCTGACCCCAAACGCTGAGCCCTGAACTCTGCAACCCTAAGGCATCCTAAGATCCTGACGCACGAAGCCCTGAAGGCCCTAAGCCCTCAAGGCCCTGAGCCCTAAACCCTAAACCCCTAAACCCACAAGCCCTAAACCCTAAACCGTTCAACCCCTATACCCAGAAGCCCTAAAACCCTTAAACCGCAAAGCCCCTAAACCCTGCCGAAGCCCTACAAAGCCGCAGGTTGCACGTTCCACACGCACCGCACCATCCACTGGGGCTCCAAGGGCCGCCGCAACGCGCTGGAACCTCGGATCGCCCTTTCCTTCGGTGCCTTGGCTCTTTATGGATAGGGGGTTTAGGGTTCTGGGTTTAGGGCTAGAGTTTTGTTTTTATGGATAAGGGGTTGGGAGGTTAGGGAGGGGGGGGGGGCTTGGGAGCTTGGGCTTGCTACCAAATGGGAGGATTCTTTTCCGAATCGATGCTTCGGGTTTCAGGACTTTTTGGGGGATTTTTGGGGGCTTGGGGCCACTGTTCAGGGTGTCAGGGGGCTTGAGGCTCACGGCTGAGGGATTGGCGTCTGATGGTATAAGGTTGTTGGTGGGCTTGGGACAACAATGTTGGGCCGTGGATAGTCAGGATCGCAGGCATGCTCACACGAGCAAAGCTATCCTCCCGGCGCTCTCGACTGTTGGTTTTTGTTTATACTCCAGCAGTCGTCTCACCGGCGTATTTACGTTTGCAGTCGTCATGTTGATCATCCTCACCAGGACGATTCCGATGCGCTCATTCGTGTGTCGTTCATTTCTCTTACAGTTTCTCCGTGACCTTTTGTTTGCCCAAACTCGGCTGAATCTACCTCCTTCCACCGCTAAGGCTTCAGCACGGAGGACAGGCTTGTCCGCTCTTGGCATCATTCTGTACGGGCTTCCAACCTTCTGGGCTCAGGGCTTGCAGGTTTTTCGGGTTCAGGATTGAGGGTTCAAAAGGGCTTTGGGTTGCGCGGTGGATGCGCCTTTTACTTTAGGAATAGGTGCGCACCCACTTATCGTGCGCTTGCGTCAGCATGTAGTCCAGCCCAACCACCCGAACTATTCTCAATTCGGGTTTAGGGTTCACCCCCCAAGCCCTGCTCAAGGGGGGCTTTCTCGCTCTCTGCTTCCCCTAACAGTTCTGCATAAAATGCGCTTTTCACAGCAACCACACTTCGACGCGAAGCAAGATTCCAACAAACAATTTTTTAACCCCTCGCACCCTGTCAGGGTTGCTCGAAGTTTCCAGAGACGGCAGGTCCGGGTCACTGGAAACCCCGGCCTGGAAGCCCTGGACATTGAAACTGGCCTTAATAAGCTGGCGCTTGGCCAGATGGGAAGGCGCTTGGGAAGCCGCAAGGTATCCCCCACCCAAGGCTCAAAACCGCAAGCGCAACGAATTAAATGCTGAAGCTCGGGCCATTGAAAGCTGCTAGAGACTGGAGCATCCTTCGGAGGACTTCGAACCGCCGTACTTCTCCCCGAAGGTGCTTTGCCAGTTGGTTGCGGATTGAAGGTGTGCCCCTTTAGGGGTTCGCGGATGAGGGTTTCGGGTGCGTTTCCGGAAGAACAGACCAAAACCTCAAGTCCCAGACCCTTAACGCTAAAGGTTTATGTTACTGGGATGCACACTTGGCAGAGAAGGCGCTGCCGTTTCCGGAGCTTCGCCTTCGGGCAGCACTGGCATCAGCATCTCGGCTGGAGAGACCGGCATCTCTTGAGCAGGGCTGGGGCGACCATGGTTTCCGAGTTGTTGGGACGCCGCGGTTTAGTAATTTAAGTCACCAGATACAAAAGCGGTCCATGAACAATTTCGTCTCTTCGCGACTCCCCTGAAGCCTTGGCCTTACATTAGAGAACAACTCTCAACCCTGTCTCAGCATCGAAAACTCCCGATCGCGACGAGCAATCCCCCGCACTCCACCCGAAGCTAGTGGTGATTCACAGCTCTACACTGTAGAGTACATGCACATAGGTGTTCTGAAGCTTCTCTGACATGCTACTAGGCATCATTCGTAGCATCATCAGACACGGTTTACGGGGTTTTCGGTTTTGTGCCACTGGCATACTTTAACCATGTCCATATTTTGCTACAGGGCACTATTCTCTATTCCCAGATACTTGTTTTTTACACCTACAATACTCACGTGTATGCATTCACGTGATTTATGTGCGCGTGTCTCTGTGTGTGTGTGTGTGCCAGTCAGTCATTTACGTATGTACGCATGCATGTATGAATGCATGCAGACATGCAGCATGCCTGTACATATGCAGTATGCATGTATGTATGCATGCATTTAGGCATTTATCTGTTGCTGACTTGCATACAGTCGTGTATACATGCGCGAATGAATGCTTGAGCCTATATACTGCTCATGCGCACATGCACACGGAACTGTATGCCTCATGCATGCATCCATGCATGTAGACAGGTGTTTCGTGCAAGTAGTGTAGAATCGTCGTAGCTTTGATTACCCGGTGGGGCCAGCCTGTCCATCGTTCAGAAAACATGGAACTGCTGTGTTCGAGTCGTCTGAGCTAAACAGACGCTCAGCATCATGTCCTAAGCTCACCTTAAACCTCCATCTTGAACTTGTCCTAAGCCTGTTACCCCAAACCCCTTCTTTCCCTACACCCTAAACCCTAAACCCTAAACCCTAAACCCTAAACCTCTATGAAACCCTTCACTGTAGCAACTTCCGTCGGACCCGAAAGCCCCGCCAGTGCGAGGCCCAGGTCCTCAACTACGCAGCTCCGGCACTGCTTTCTTATGGTTCCAGGGGCCGTCGCATGGAATATGGGCTGTGTGGGGTTTTGGGTTTGGGGTTTTGGGGAGTTTGAGGGG